CCCCTAAATTCCTATTTGGAATTTTTTTTTTTTTTTTTTTTTCCCTCCCCCGCTTTTCCACGCGGCGCTGCTGGGCGGCGGGAGCCCGCGCGGTGCCACCGGCCCCGTCCCGCGCCCGCTCCGCACTTGTGGCTGCGCGGCCCCAGGCAGCTGCGCGGGGGCGCAGCCTCCCGGCGGGCAAGGTGAGGGGCGCCCCGGCGGGCTGCGCTGCGCGGCGCAGGGGAGGGGGCTCCGCGCTGCGCGGGGGCGGGCGCTGCGAGCGGCGCAGCCCGCCGGGGAGCCGCGCACCCGCTCGCCCCGCTCCCCGCGCCGCCTCCGCGTGCGCGCGCGCCCTGCCCGGCGCCGGAGCAGCGCGGAGCCGAGCGGAGCGGCCGCGAGGTAGGGAAGGTGCCGCTCGCACCGCGAGCATCGCCGAGGGCGGGCGCGCGGAGCGGCCGCGGCGGGGGCTGCCTCTGCGCTGCCGTTTCCTTATTTCCTGCTATTTTTATGATGATGGTTATTCCGCAGGTTTTGTTGCTATCACTATAATTATTATTGCTGCTATTTTTAAGACGGGGCCGGGGGGGGGGGTGCAAAACTGCGGCGGCGCCCGCGGTGCCTGCGGAGCCTCCCTCCCTCCCGCCGCTGCCCGCAGCGCCGGCGCGGGGGCTCCGCGGGCGCCGCCGCCTCGTGCCCGGCGCAGGGCCGCGGGAGGATCCGCGCGGGAAGGCGCCGCGGGCTGCGCTGCGCGGAGGTGCGGAGCGGAGCGTGCGGCTTTTAAAGATTTATTGATCTATTTATTTATTTATTTATTGGGGGGTGGGGGGGGCGGTTGTGGCTCGTCGCAAAGGGATGCGGGGCTGCATCCCCAGGCGGCGTGAGTGCGCGGCGCGCGCTGCCCGAGCGCGCCCGGCTCCCTGCTCCCGCCCGGAGGCAGCGGGCGACGGGCGCCCGCGGGGAGCGGAGCCCGCAGTCCCCGAGCCGGCTCCGGCCATCGCGTTGCGGCAAAAGCTGCGGTGGCGGCTGCGCCGCCGCGCGCGGGGCCCCGCGGTGGCCGCTCCGCGCCGCGCTGCCCCCCGGCGCCCCCGCGTCCCCCCGCCGTCCCTCCCTGCCTGCCTTGCCCGCCCGGGTGCCCCGGCTCGTCCTCCCTCCTCGCGGCTCCCTCCGCTTGCATCCCGGCTCCCTCCTTGCAACTCGGCTGCTTCCCACCGAGCGACAGGAAAGTGGCAAGTTGGGAAGCGGGGGAACGGGGAAGGTGCGTGGAGGGGGGAAGCAATTGATTATTGATTGGTTTGTCAGGGGGAGGGGGGGAAATCCAGCCTGCAACTGGGGGAAATCCTGGGGCTTTGGTATTTTCGGAGTGAAAAATGGCAGCTCAGCTGGCCTGGCTGTACGTGAAGGGTTCTTGAAAGCCACCTCTGTATCAGTGTGGGGATGAGAGCAAATTGCATAAGCTTTTTTTTTTTAAATAAAAAAAAGATAAAGAAAAGAAAAAAAAAAAGATGTTCTTCTCAGTTTTCAGTAGTGTCAGGCTGGTGAATTGTGACTTTGTTTCACCCTGTAAGTTGGGGTGTTGTTGTTCCTGGGGACGGGACCATATGTCCATGCATGCTCTTCCACATCCGTGTGCCTCCACTGGCTGCCTAGAGCCGATCTGCTCGTTCTTGGGGTAGTTCGTAGCATCTTGGTGATGGGTTTGCCACCTATTTACTTAAACTGGGTAAAATAAGTGACAGAAACAATGTGCTTGCATGTCTTTGTATCCCTTGAGTGAATCTCAGTGTTACTGTAGTGGTATCTGTATGCGTCGATGCTATATATATACATGCATATACATTGAGTGTGGATACTGCCTTTTTGCCTGCAGCTTCATCCTTCATACACTGTGCTATCCAAATGCAGGTTTTTGGTCATGCGTAACTTCAGGTTTCTATTGAACACTCCTGAACTGCATGGCAACATGTGAGCAGTGCAGCACCAAGGAAAGTAAATGTGCATAAAACTGCAATCTCCTTTGGTTATTCTACTTTGCTAGTTATGTATGTTTGCCGTGTGAGAAAGAGAAATGTATTTGATACAAAGTTATGTGTATTTGTCTGCAGATATTTGCATTCCATATTTGAAACTCAGGCTCACGAGTTATTTGTTTGGGTTGTTAAAACCTTTCATGTTGCTTGAAATTCAGTGCTTGTAGTTTATCTATAATCCTTGGCAGGTACAGTAGCTCAGTGGAGTACAATTTTTAACCCAAACGACTTTTCGGAACAATGACAACTGAAAAACATTTTTCTTTTTTCTTTCCTTCTTTCTTCTTTAGATTCTTTATCTTTGTTCAGGAGTCTAAGGTTGCTTGCTGATAACAAGAAGATGTTTCTGTGGCTCTTTCTGCTTCTGTCATCTCCAGTTTCTTCTACAACTGCAGATGCTGATATATCTGTGGAAATTTGCAATGTTTGCTCCTGTGTGTCAGTTGAGAATGTGCTCTATGTCAACTGTGAGAAGGTTGCAGTCTACAGACCAAATCAGCTTAAGCCACCATGGTCTAATTTTTACCACCTTAACTTTCAAAACAACCTCCTAATTGTTCTATATCCAAACACCTTTCTTAATTTTACACATGCAGTGTCCTTGCAACTGGGTAATAATAAATTACAGAACATTGAGGGAGGAGCATTCTTGGGTCTTAGTGCATTAAAGCAGTTGCACTTGAACAACAATGAATTAAAGATTCTCCGAGCTGATACCTTCCTTGGCATAGAGAACTTGGAGTATCTCCAAGCTGACTACAATTTAATCAAGTTTATTGAACGGGGAGCCTTCAATAAGCTTCACAAGCTGAAAGTCCTCATCCTTAATGACAATCTGATTTCATTCCTTCCTGATAATATTTTTCGATTTGCTTCTCTAACCCATCTGGATATACGAGGGAATCGAATACAGAAGCTTCCATACATTGGGGTTCTGGAGCACATTGGGCGAATTGTCGAGTTGCAACTGGAAGACAACCCTTGGAATTGTACTTGTGATTTGTTGCCGTTGAAAGCGTGGCTGGAGAACATGCCCTACAACATCTACATCGGCGAGGCCATCTGCGAGACACCCAGCGACCTGTACGGGAGGCTGCTGAAGGAAACCAACAAGCAAGAGCTGTGCTCCATGGGGACGGGCAGCGACTTCGACGTGCGCATCCTGCCTCCCGTGCAGCTGGAGCCGGGCTACAGCACCCCCAATGGCCACACCACACAAACCTCGGTGCACAGGTTGGTCACGAAGCCTCCGAAAACTACCAATCCTTCTAAGATCTCGGGGATCGTAGCAGGCAAAGCGCTGTCCAATCGCAACCTTAGTCAAATCGTGTCCTACCAGACCAGGGTGCCTCCCCTAACGCCTTGCCCGGTGCCCTGTGTTTGCAAAACACATCCTTCTGACCTGGGATTAAGTGTAAATTGCCAAGAAAGAAATATAGAGTCAATGGCCGAACTCGTACCGAAACCTCTAAATGCCAAGAAGCTGCACGTAAATGGCAATTACATTAAGAACGTGGACACAGCAGATTTCACCGAGTTCGAGGGGCTGGATTTGCTGCATCTAGGCAGCAATCGGATTTCAGTCATCAAGGGAGAAGTTTTCCGCAACCTTACGAATTTACGGAGGTTGTATCTCAATGGCAATCAGATAGAGCGCCTCAGCCCAGAAATGTTTGCTGGCCTCCACAATTTGCAGTATCTATATTTGGAGTACAATGTTATCAAAGAAGTCTTAGCAGGCACTTTTGACTTAATGCCAAATCTGCAGTTGCTCTACCTGAACAACAACCTTCTGCGAAGCTTGCCAGCCTACATTTTTGCTGGCGCGCCGCTTGCCAGACTGAATCTGAGGAACAACCATTTCATGTATTTACCTGTAAGTGGCGTTCTTGATCAGCTAAAATCTCTGACGCAAATCGATCTGGAAGGTAATCCATGGGACTGCACGTGTGATTTAGTTGCTTTAAAACTGTGGCTTGAAAAGCTTAATGAAGGTATAGTGGTGAAGGAGCTGAAATGTGAAACACCTGTGCAGTTTGCTAACATTGAACTGAAGTCTCTGAAAAACGAGATCCTCTGTCCTAAACTCCTGAACAAGCCATCTGCTCTGTTCTCCAGTCCCGTGCCTGCCGTCACTTTTACAACACCGCTGGGACCAGTTCGGAGTGCTCCTGGCGGCCCCGTTCCCTTGTCCATCCTCATCCTAAGCATATTAGTTGTGCTTATTTTAACTGTGTTTGTTGCTTTTTGTCTTCTCGTTTTTGTGCTTCGGCGCAACAAAAAACCAACTGTAAAGCATGAAGGGATGGGAAACCAGGAATGCAGTTCAATGCAACTGCAGCTAAGGAAGCACGATCACAAAACAAACAAGAAAGACGGACTGGGCGCAGAGGCCTTCATTCCTCAAACCATCGAGCAGATGAGCAAAAGTCACACCTGTGGCTTGAAGGAGTCTGAAACAGGCTTCACGTTTGCTGATCCACCGGGGCAAAAAGTCATTCTGAGAAATATTAATGACAAGGAGAAAGATTTGTTGCACGTGGATACCAGAAAAAGACTCAGCACAATTGATGAACTGGATGAATTGTTCCCCGGGAGGGATTCCAATGTATTTATTCAGAATTTTCTTGAAAGTAAAAAAGAATACAACAGTATAGGGGTCAGTGGCTTTGAGATACGCTACCCAGAGAAACAACAAGACAAAAAAAACAAGAAATCCCTAATAGGCGGTAATCATAGTAAAATTGTAGTAGAACAAAGAAAGAGTGAATATTTTGAACTAAAAGCTAAACTTCAAGGTTCACCTGACTACCTACAAGTCCTTGAAGAACAAACAGCTTTGAATAAAATATAGGTCATGCAATCTTATTGCCTACAGAGGACATTTATTTAATGATGAAAGTGCCTTTTGTTGACTCTTAACTTCCAAATACTATATTATATTGACAGGCATAGAGACAGGGGTATCCGAGGGTTCTGATTAACGGTAGCTGCGTATCATTTGTCGGTAGAGGAGAAATTCCTTAATAGGTTTTACTACATAAAGCTCATGCCCTGTGGGATCTTGTAGGGATACTGCAAACTCTATTGCCAAAGGGATGCTTTATACACGATACACTGAATTTAACCTCAAGAGGCATATATGTTTTGTACCTTAAATGCTAAACCTTCGTCTCCTTGTGATTTGTTAGAGCAAACACAAGAAACCTGGTACTGGTGTTTGTACCTCAGCTGGGTCCTTCATCCTGCACGTGGATTTAAGTTGGTGGAACTGGAGTAATCCTTTGATTTGTGGTGTTGTAATGGCACTGTTTAAAGATTATCTGAAAAGTAACAAGCATGCAAAGAGAGAACATTCGATAGTACGTGTAAATTGGTTACATTTATGGCCTGCATCTTGAAACCACTTGAATTATAATGTTAAATTGTGCAAATATTTGTTTAAAATATACCATGCGTTACATACCGATGAAATAAATTTGACCACTTGAAACATACCTGTCTATAGATAAAATTAAAACAACAAAAAAAGTAACCTGACTTCTGCAGCATTTGTGGTGATCTGAAGAAAATATTTGATGTTTATGCAGAATCTGTTGTAAGACTCATCTCCAATGAAAACTAGAGTTCCTTCTCAGTTATGTGAAACGCTTGCAACCCTAACGGGTTTTCCAGAATTGTCAAAGTGCTTACTGTGTGAGCGTAGCAGAAACTATTTTTGTAATATAATTCATATTTATGAAATACTTTGTATACTAAATAGGAAAATATGTACTCCTTAATATGTATTTAATATGCCTGACTTGTTTTCCTGATCACAATGCATTATTCATTCAATATAAATAAAAACAGAACAATATACCAAACAGAATCCGGGTATGTAATGTATAGAATTATCCAGAATTAAGTGATCAGGTATAATAATATTAAAATTGTTCTGTATTATTCTTGTGAAATTAGCATATTATCTTATTTCAGATTTGTTACCAATGGTGCATTTTAAAATAGATTCATTAGTTTTTTAGTATTGTGTCTCAGGCAATGACTTGCCATCAGTTGTCTTGCTTTTCAGGGTTCTACAGCTTAATCTAAATCGTTTTCACTACAGGTATTTACAGGAATTCATGATAAGGGTAGTACTTTAATTGTATATGCATCAATTTTTGGTTCTTACTATCTGTCAGACTGCTTTCAATCAGAAAATCTGTCAGAACAGTAAACTGTATGGGAAATCACATCTATTTAAAGCCACACTGTAAAATGGATATAGTGGTCTCAGTTCAGTTCAGAGTATTATGTAGTTCATATGTATAGGCAGTAAAACCTTTGTGAAGGTTGATTCTGAATAGCTAGAAAAGTAGACAGGAGGATGGAAAATACCCACTTTATTGTCCAGATAGACAGATGATAGCTTGAGATGAGAGTAGAGATGGACTTGGTAAAGTATCACACAGGAAATCTATACTATGAGACTTAAGTTCATTGATGTGAACAGGAGTTTTTTCATTTATTTCAACGAGACCCTCTATCTCCTTTGCTTCCAGAACTTTTTTTTTCCCTCATTTATAGTCAATAAATATATCGATCAAGATTAGTAGGAAATAAGCATGAGTATTTTTCATGAATTTGAAACTAGCAAATATAACAGCAAGACCCACACTAATATGGGGAAGGCTGTTATCAGCTTTTTGCATTATAGATCTTTAATTTCAGGGCTTTGTGACACTGCTGTAAAAATTTTATTCTGGTATGATACTTGGCAAACAGCCTGGAGTATATTTTTTAAGAAGTTAAAGAAAAAAAAAAAAGCTGTTGTATTTAAAAGAAAACAAAAAGACATTTTCTACTTTCAAACACATTTGTTTATGCTCTTGTAACCTAGAAAGAGGGTTGTTTTATTATTTTCTCCATAACATACAGTATATAAATGACTTCAAATAATAAAATGATAACAAATAAATGGCTGAGTTGATCTTTCAAAAAGCTGCTGTTTTCCATGCACAATAATTTAACTTAATTCAAGATGTTATAGGGATTTTCAGGAGATGATTACTATGCATATATGCATTTTCGGCATGAAAGATTCCTAGCTGCCCATCAACACAACACATTCCCAAGACTTTAAGGAGAGTGTTGAAGCTTGTTGTTTCAGGAGTTTGCAGCTGAAGGCGTGTTGAAGGTGCTGGCAGTGATGACCTGTCACAGCTCTGGGGGGATCAGAGTCACTGCTGTGCCCAGGCTGCGGCCTTTGGGACGTGTCGTGGTTCACGGGGACTCGCCAAGGTGTGAGGCTCGTGACACCCTTCAGCGCGTTGTCACAAGCTGTCGTGCCTTGTCCTGTAGCCTTCTGGTGTGAGGCCGTGTTAGAAAAGCATTTGAAAATAGCAAATAAACTAAGGCTCCGAGGTGATGTTAAAACCTATGTGCTCCTGTCTGGTGTTGCCCTGAGTTAACAGAACAGTTGGCAAACCAGCATACCTCCTCAGCTAGGAAAAAATGAGCTTGTTTCCCTCTCTTCTTGAGGTGAAGTCATCTATTTGCTGATGAAGAGAGGAAGAGAAGATGCAGTCTTGCATGTAACAGAGCATGAAGATGCATTGTCACACCTATGCTAGGTCAAATTTGAGGACATTGAGACCTCAAACTGGTAAAGCATTTGAGCTTAATTTAAATCACATGGTCCTAATCATGAGCTTAAAATGAAGGCGCTTGCTCAAGAGAGGGTCTTAGATGAAGTTTTGTCATTGACCTCAAAAGACGCACAGAAAAGTGTGTAATGATGATCCGTAGAGTCCGTTGTCTTGCAGGCGACACCAGTGACCACTTTCCCCCCATGAGCTGTCCAGTGACTCCTTAGGGATTATGCAGCTGAGTGTAGCTTCACCAGCATCAGTAAAAGTTGCACAGTCTGGACCTTCCCATAGAAATTGTTCCGTAGTGTTTTACATGTATGGTGCAATCTGTAGGCATAATTGAGTAAAAGAGTGCAGAAACTGGCAAAACACTGTTTCTGTGATGTTATTTTGAATGACAACTTTGATGTCAGTTTATTTCCTCCATGGTTTGAGACAGTGTTATGTGTCTATACAGCAGTTTTAGTGTAATGTCCATTCAAATCTACAGTCAGCTTGTCTCGGAAAGTCAATCTCCTGATGTGGCTCAGCAGATCTGTCCGCTCGGTACATTGGTTTGAGTGGCCATGCTTGTAAAATGGCTGTTAAGACCCATAGATGTGAACTAAATCAGTGAAGGTGTTAACATAATCTGTTGTGTTCATTGTATTATAAAGAAGTTTACATTTTTTAAATGAAATTACAATAAAGTATGAGCATTTCCTTAAAAAAAGAAAAAAATGTGCAATTTTATCAGAAAGCAACTATTATGGTGCAAGAACACAAGGCCATTAAGACAATTTACATGTTATATTTAGCATTCCAGATTACCAGTGAAGACATTTGAAATCTAACTTTAAGAAATTGTTTTTCCTTTTTTTTTTTTTTTTTTTTTTTTTTTGAAAAAAGCCATAAGGACGGTATAAATTAAGATCAACATGGCCTTGTGAATACTGTTAACAAATGTTTCAGAGTTAGCAAAACACATCCAGAACTTGATGGTGGTATAATATCTATAATATTTTTGCATGATTTGTACATTGATATTGTATAAAATGAGCACAGTGAGATTTTTTTTTTTTGGTTGCATCCAAAGAGATGGGAAGGAAGAATAACAAGAATGTATTTATAATCACTCTATTTTGAAATAAAGTCAAGAAAACAAAATGTATTGTTTTTACCCTGCTTCAATCATTCCTATTTTAGATTAGTTTATTATAAGAATAGCTTCTTTTCCAGTCCAATGTCCAACAAGGAAAACTGTTGTTTATGACTTTGGTTTGCCTTCAGCTACATATAAATATTAGCCAGTATTGACTTAAGAAATTTGTATGAAGTATTAATAAAATTGTTTGGTACTACAATGGTATCTCTGAAGCTACAGTTTGTTGAATGCATGCAATATTCTCTTTCACATTATTTGTATATGGGAGAAAGAGAATCTGTTAAGTAGTTAAACATTAATGTTTTCTAATCACATGGGACAGTTTATTTGTTGTTATTGTTTAATGGAAGTTTATCCTATTATCTAAGAAAATCCTCTTTGCCTCAGTTATAAAAATAGTCCCTCAGAAGTCAGTGGAACTTTCTGCATTAGTAACATGAGCAGAAATCTGTTTCTAGTTGGGTTCCACACTCGTCGACAGAGAAGTGTTTGGAGGAACAATCACATGCTAAACAAACGCTAGGGGCATTCGTTTTGATTTTTTTTTCTCCTTTTCTCATTAATCACTTTCAGTAAGACAGTTTTGTAGAGGAACAAAATTAATTAATCTTTTATTAATCCCTTACCAAAAGGGGAAAAAAATCAATTCATCTACCTTTTAACTAGGATTTTTTTTTTTATAAATGTACATTGAAAAGGCATCCTTAGGTACTTCAACTTCCAAATTTAGATTGTGTAGTAAAACATTTTTGCAAAGCTTGAGAAAAATCTTCATGAAAGGGGTGAGAGGCACGAACAGATCTATATCTAGATTAAACGTTCCCCTGCTGTGCCAGATTTAACATGCAGCGTAATGGTAGTGAATGAGAATCAGAAGTGATATGGACTAGAAAATCAAGACTTGAAACTGCATTTTTTTCTCCACTGCCAACTGCAGTGAAATGCTAGGAGCAAATCCATGGCATTCATGAGGAAAGTAAAAACCTGGTCACAAATATAATATGAGTACTTTTGGAAGAACTTGAGGATCCAGATTCATGTTTCGAAAATAATACACATAGTTTCCTGAATGTAGAGGAACTCTGCAATGTTCTTCTCACACTTTTTTCTCCCACTATTTATTCTTTATTTGCAGTTCATTCACCCTGTGTTCTGATTGATGCTGTGTTGAGAAATAAGAATACTAGTGCTCAGGACCAAACTCCCCTCAGAAACAGGCTTCTGTAGAATCAAATCAAACTTAACCTGGTAAACACAAAAGCAGAAATTTACCATATTATTTAAGAAATTGATTTATCTATCACTGAAATCAAAAAGAAGCCAGGCCATATTTTTACTAGAAATTTAACAAAATTGACTCGAAGAAAGAAAATATAATCTTGCTTTTTGTTCCATTAATTTGTTGTGGCAGAGCTATTATTAATTTTAAAAAACAGTAGGACAGACTACAGGGTAGGAGCACTCTAGCTTAATGGAAGACTTTGCTAATTCAAAAGCTAAGTGCGTTCTTCTGTAAATATAGCGTGGGTAGAAAACTATTTAAATTTCCTGTTTTAATACATAGACCTGCATCATACATTGGGTAGCATTAAGATGAGATCCTTTATCTTCTCTAATAGAACAAACGTACCCCATCCTCTTGCATATTAAAATAGGAACTTTATTGCAAGTATGTTCATTTTACAGTTAATTTTATTCCTAGTCATTGGTAATCTTTAAAATCATTTACTTACTGCCTGGAAGTAATGCATTTGGAGTAGTCTATTATTTCTAAGATACCACTCCTCAGTCACAGACTGATGCTGTATTATATCGATTTTTCATCTCCTTCTGTGATTTTTGTAGTTGTTTAATATTAAATCATTTCTTAGGAGAACAGTTAATCCGGATAAGTAACAGACACCCGTCTGATAACAGGTATGCATTTTTTTATATTTATGTATGTGTACGAACGTGTGTGTAAGTGTCCATGCGTATATGCCAAGGCAGAATCTGGAATAAATCAACACTGATAGGCATTGAAGTGTTTACAGGATTGACCCTCTGGCCTCTGCTTAATCAGAAAGCAAGAGGTGATGTCTACCTTAGTTTCCCCTATCCACAAGCATTTCATTTCTTGATTTAATCTCATGTCATTTCCTACAAATGTGTGCCCTGTGACCTTTCTTTATCCTTCTACTGACATCCTCCTGAAATCTTTCTACTTCATGCTCTTGTTTCACCTTCCAGTCCTTTGCAGATGAATATTTGTCTAGACAATGATTAATAGCTGTTTCCAAAGAAGAAATGGCTTTGCTGATCTGAAAAACAAGAAAAAAAAGTTAAGAAGATTGTATGATCCAAAATGGAGATAGGAAACAGTCTAAGTTTCTCTTAATGCTGAGCTTTTAAAGATGGAAAATGTAGGTTTTCATGACTCTAAGGTGTACATTGTAAAGTGAATGCGATTCCACCCTTTGAATGCTGACAGTCGTTCTGTGGGCTAAATGCTGCAGATGTCTGCACCCCTTTACCAAAGCTAGGTTTTAGTCTTGCTTGTCACTGAAATGTCTTGAATGAATTCTTAAAACTGATAAGATAAGTATCTCTTTAGTAAAGATACTTTGGTAGAGGCTTTTCACCAAGGATGCCTTTGTCTGTGCATTGGTAGTTCTTAGGTACAGAGGTCTGTCTAATGTTTGTTGATCACTTCTTTAAATGGCAGAGTCTTTCTTCATGAGATGCATTAGTGCTAACATCTGAATATGACTTGCGGCACAGTAAGTGCATTTCAATGAGCAGAGTCACAAAGGGCAGAGAGCTTTGACAGATTTTTGAGCTCTTCACTGCAAGAAACTGCAGGAAACTATGTAACGTACAGCAGATTTCCTTGCTCCCCGGCAGGATTTCAGAGCCTCTTCGAG